AGTGGCTTGACCTGGGGAATGCGGCACCTGTAGCCCATTTCCTGCACACGCCTGTGCACGGTGGCTCTGGATGTTTCTACTCCAGACTCAGTCCACTGCTTCCGCAGGTCCCCCAAGGTCTGGAATCAGCCCTTCTCCACAATCCTCCTCAGGGTCCGGTCACCTCTTCTTGTTGTGCGGCGTTTTCTGCCACACTTTTCCCTTCCCACAGACTTCCCACTGAGGTGCCTTGATACAGCACTCTGGGAACAGCCTATTCGTTCAGCAATTTCTTTCTGTGTCTTACCCTCTTGCTTGAGGGTGTCAATGATGGCCTTCTGGACAGCAGTCAGGTCGACAGTCTTACCCATGATTGCGGTTTTGAGTAATGAACAAGGCTGGGAGTTTTTAAAAGCCTCGAATCTTTTGCAGGTGTTTACGTTGTTGATTCAGATGGTTAGGTTAATAGCTTGTTTAGAGAATCTTTTCATGATATGCTAATTTTTTGGGACAGGCATTTTGGGTTTTCATGAGCTGTATGCCATAATCATCAGTATTAAAACAATTAAAGACCTGAAACATTTCAGTTGGTGTGCAATGAATCTGAAATATATGAAAGTTTCATTTTTATCATTACATTATGGAAAATGATGACCTTTATCACAATATGCTAATTTTTTGAGAAGGACCTGTATGTGCTTCTCAAACTGAGGTGGTGCACCTAAAGGGTCTGAAAATGTTCTTCCTCCTCCAAAGGGGAGCACAACATGAAATGCTTTGCACCAAACGAGGAGTCTCTACTTGCCTCACACTGGTTGGTGAGTTTTGTGGAGGTGATGTCGAGCTGTTGATATTCCTCTTTCAGTTTGGAGAACTCTGCCTCCAGCTTGGTCTGCTCCAGCTTCGCACTGTTCAACTGGCTCTTCATGCTCTTATGGTCCAGCTGGAGGTTCTCGTTGTCCTTCACCAGCTGACGACAGGTAGTGTTGAGTCTGAAAAGAGATCACACGAATCACTTTATTGAGATACTAAACAAAATGTGCAAAGTATGACAAAAAGCTTGTGCAGGTTGATCCGACCTGTCGTTCTCCTCTTTCAGTTGTTTGCATTGGTCAGCTGTGGCTCGGTGGCTCTGGTTCTCCTGAGCCATTTTTTCCTGCTGTTCCTTGAGATTTTTCTCCAGTTCCTCTAGTTCTCCTTTCCTGTGCAAGAGCTGCTTGTACCTGAGGACATAACACAAAACAACAAACAACTAAATGACCAAAAGGTCAACGTTTCTTCTCCCAGCCCAGCTTAGTGGCCTTAAAGACAGTTAAACAACACTAAAATAAGACCATGTCTCACTTGTCCTCCAAGTCCCTGTGCTGTTGCTCCAGGCTCTTGTGGGATGTCTTCAAACCGCCGTGCTTTGTGATCAGAGCTTCGTACTCAGCCGCCTGCCTCTCGTGGAGCGCTGCCAGCTTCTCGTGATCTCTGAGCAGCAGCTCGTACGTCGCCCTCAGCTCTTCTTTGTCTTTCAGTGCTCCCTCTCGCTCCCCCTCCACGCTGCTCTGCTGGCTCTGCAGCTGGGCGTTCTGGGCCATCAGGGCTCCACTCTGCGAGCTCAGGGTGGAGTTTTCTACCTGCACGCCAGAAGGAACAGAAGAAAACTTTTCGCTAATTGAGTTAGAAAAAGCAGCACTGACCTTCCTAATGTTGCGATCTTAGTCTGTAGGGGGTGCTGTGTCTGTTCAGGATGTTCAGTCTGCTTTAGTGAAGCTTCCTTTGCAAAATAAATAATAAAATGTGTTCCCTTTATGGTCACAGTATTTCCTAGTCTGAAAGCCCTCTGGAATCATGACTGCTGTGTTTATTCACACAAACTGCATCCACTTGAAGTTACTGTACTTGCCGCTGTAAAGGTTGCACCGTGTATGAGTCGCATCAGTCCAAATATGTCTAATAAAGTGGAAAAAAATATAAATACATCACACCGCCATATATATTGCATCTATTATGCGTCACCACTGACAACCCCTCACTTTTACCTATTAATGAGTCACTTGGCTTGCCATATTGGTCGAGAGCCCTCAAAAATGGTGGTGTTCATCATTTTCCATGTCAGAATGACTGAAATAGTCAGATCTCAGCCAAAAATTGTGTTATAAATATAGGGGGGGGGGGGGGGGGATAAATACATTTATTTGCTGTATAAGTCACAGGCATGCTAATTTATGCAAAAAAGTGTGACTTATAGTGAAAATTACAGTACACATTGTGCATTTTTTTTCTTTCTTGCAGCTCACATCAATTTCTGCCGTCAAAACACCCTTACATGCTTGTTGCTCACTTTGCACATAAAGCAACACAGCTAGCAGCTTCTGTGGTCAGTGTAAAATCTGCCACCCATAAGAAGGGCTTGAAAAACAGCCAAACGACGTGGAGGAGAATCTAAATCCATATGAGGGGAGCTTAGCAGCCTGGGAGAGCAGCTCCCAGCATTGGGCAGAGAAAGTAGGATAGCACAAAATGAGTGTGCAAAATGTACAATCACTTGTGAGCAATGCCTTTTAGGGGAAAATATTGTAACTTTGCTATGACTATGAATCTTTTTAGCAACCATAACATAGGTTTAACCTAGATAGTAAGATCTGTCCAATAGAACATTAATTACAGTGCATCGGCCAGAGGAAAAGATGCAGGTCTGCATGGATGGCCAGTGTTTGAATCATACAGAGCGCAAAAATATCTGAGGTTCTGAACTAAACTTTAAATAAGAAAATATCGAATCTTAGATATTTACTGCACAAAAAATTAAAGGAAAGAACAAGCAAACTGTGTTCTTTCCATAAGGTTTCCAAAAATGCCAACTGATCTTCTCAGAGTTAATCATAAACGCTTCATAACGTCTTGGAAAACGGTGCCTTTAAAAACTATTAGCTCAGAAAGTTTACAGTTTTTATTACCATTGCATGAAGGTTATTTGACCCTTTGCAATAAAGTTATTCAAGTTAATGTAATGTTTTAATGCGTGTGATTATTCATCTTTTAGTAAAACACTGTTGAGTTAATAAATCTCAAGTTATATTAACACCTGCCTTGTTAATGTCTTGTGAATGTTTCGTTTAGTTAAATGAAATGGACCTGCAGTTTGGCGTTCTGCATCTGTAGCGTAGTGTTGTTCTCCTGTAAAGAGGCGGTCTGTCTCTGCAGGGCAACTATCTGCGCCTGCAGGTTGGAGCTTTGAGTTTCCAATTGTTTGAGCTGGCTCCGCAGGGCCACCTTCTCCGCCTGCAGCGTTGCATTCTGGGAAAATAAAACAACACACACACATTAATGTATGCAGCAATTGATTTAAGAAAGTCACCCGAGCCATCTCATATAAACGTTTACTTACATTCCTCTCCACTTCAATTAATCTGTCTTTGACCTTCAGCAGTTCTCTGGTGGCTTCTTGACTTTCTTTTTCCCATTTACTGACAGCAGAGTGTTCTCCTTTAGAGGGCGAGCTCTGGACCATCCTTTCCTCCTCCTCTCTTTGACGAAGTGCCTCATAGTTTTTCTTCACCTGTAAAGAGACGAGAAGGTCAAAATAAAATATTTAATATGACTTCTGTACACTACTATCAACTCCTATAAAGTTTAACTGATTTCAGGCCTAATGAGAAAAAAAGTCATAATTCTCAGAACTATCAGACATGATTTACAAGTTTTTGTGTCAAATATTTGTAAGTTTGAATCTGAAGTGTAAGAGAAACATAATCTCCAGACAACGCCACCTTTAAGCTTCATGTTCTCTTACTAATAGACAACTGGCAACAGGAAAAATAAAAGCAAATAAAATCAGTTTATCAGAGTGAGAGTCCCTCGGTGTTTCTGTCTGCAGGAGAGCATTAGGATTTGCTGTTCTCAAGTGGACAAACTATTCAAAATCTATTCTGGTCAATGTTTGAAGGCTTTGTTTACAGTTTTTTTATATTTTTTATAAGGTACAACTAAATATATACATTTCAAAACAATACAAAATTTCTGAATATTTATTTTGAACGTGTGGATTTCTGTTTTCAGTGTCACTCACAGTTTTCAGCTCTTGACGAAGTTGCTGGTTGAGGTTGGAGGATTCCTGCAGTCTGGCCTCTAAAGCAGCTATTTTCTCCTCTTTAATCTCCAAAGAAGACTTCAGAGTCGACTCCAGTTTGGTTTCCAGGAGCCTAAACCTAAAAATAATCATTCAGGTACTTGTTTATGTATGTGTAGAGTGTAGAAATACATCATCATTAACACTGAAGAGGTCCAGAAACCACAGCACTATGTTGATTATGTTGATTCTTTGATCATGGTGTGAATGTTTATGAAGCATTCACACTATTGTGAGCCTTTCTTTTTTTCCCCCATATATTTTTCAGCATCTTTCTCGTTCCACAATTTTTGCACTATTTCAACAAATCATAAATCAAAACGTTCAGCTCATTCAGGAGAAGGGTGCTATGATGCATTGGTGCAGATTTAGCTTTTTGAAATATTTAGCCTTTTCTGCCATTTTTTTGTCTCATAGAAAATTAATTGAGGTCATTTTACGTCCTTCAAAATCTTTAGATCTGTTTACAACCTTTTACTACTCCTTTCACATTTTGTTATAGTTCAGCTTCTTTCAAATTCCTTGTGCAAATGTTAACTTTTTCAGCTACTTTCAGCTAATTTCAGCTATTTTTCAGCTGTTGTGTGCTTCTTTCTGCTAACTACAACATTTTTGCGCTTAATCCAGCTTGTTATGCTACTTTCAGCTTATTTATGCAATTTTCCACATTTTCTAATATTTCAGCTAATATTTACCTGTTTTATGCTAATTTTAGCTTTTTCAGCTAATTCCATACTTTTTGCACTCATTTCAACTTTTTTCAGCCTAATTCAGCAAAAATGTGCTCTCTTCTTTAAGCACATCCTTCTTGGAATTTAAGCTTCTTTCTGCTTTTTAGCTGCTTTTCAGCTGTTTTTTTGTTTTGTTGCTAATTTCAGCTTTTTTCAGATAATTTTTACTTTTTTGTGTTAATTTCTGCTTCTTTGGGCCTAATTGAGAAAACGTGTTCTTTCAAATTTCTTGTGCTAATTTAAGCTTGTTCTACCGTTTCAGCTACCTTTTTAGCATTTTCTATGTAATTTCAGCTGTTTTCAGATAAATTCAAGTTTTTCGTGGTAATTCCTGCAACTTTCAGCCTAATTAACTTCATTCTACTAATTTCAGTTTGTTATGCTCCTTTCAGCTTTTTTCTGCCTTTCAGGTATTTCAGCTACTATTAAGCTGTTTATGCCATTTCTTTTAGTTTTTTTCATCTAATTTTTAGCTCATTCCAGCTCTTACCACTTCATTCTGGTAGCTTAAGCTTCTTTCTCTGCCTTTTCAGAAAATGTTTGCTAATTTCAATTTTTTTAAGCTAATTTCATAATATCTGAGCTCATATCTGCTTATTTAAACCTAATTCAGCAAATATGTGTTCTTTCTACTTCATTCTGCTAATTTAGGCTTGTTCTTCCTTTTCAGCTAAAATTCAGCATTTTTTCAAAGATAATTTTAGCTATTCATTCAACCTTTATTTAGACAGGTTAATCCCAATGAGCCTCGAGAACTCATTTACAAGAGACCTGATTTCAATTTTTCAGCTATTTTTCAGCCTATTCTTCAGCAATAAGCATTCACACTGCATTTTCACAGGAAAAGCAATTTCTCTACTTTTTAATGATTCTGATCCCTAAATCTTTTTTTTGAACCATCATTGTGTAGCTAATGTTTTTGATTGTGTGTCTGTGCATTGATACCTGTCGTCGGAGCTCTCGTCGTGGAGGAGCCTCTCTTTGTTCAGACCAATCTTCTCCAACTCGTGAGTCAGCTTCTCCAAATCATTATTCATCTGCTGAGTTCGCAGCTTCTCACTCACAAGTTCCTAAATACACAAGAACATTCTGAGCAACACTTTGAACTGTAAATCTTACAATGTTTCATATCATGATTCGAGGATGTAAAACACTTGTCCAGCTCTGCTCACCTCCCTGAGCGCCATCAGTGTCTTCTTTTCGATGCTGGACTGTTTGACCAGCTCCTTGTTCTCTCTCTCCAGGTCTTTGACTCGTGTGCAGGAGTCCCTAAAGAAGATCATCTCCTTGCCCATGGTGCGGTTCTCCTTCTCCAAGACAGAGATTCGCTGGTTGCTGTCCTCCAGCTTGGAGTCGCGGATCTCGGCCTGTTGCCTCAGACGCTTGTTCTCCTTCTCCAGAAGCTTCTTGTCTTTCTCCAGCTGAGAGCTTTCCTGTTCCAGGGTCTTGTTCTGGATGAAGTGGAGATGCATAAAATAGAATTTAATATGATTATCTCCGCTGAGAAATTTGATGCATTTGTTTGAACACGACTCATATTTGCATTCTTCAGATACTCAGAGTACACCTGACTGTTGCTGCAACCCACCTCCTGCTCCAGCTGCTCCAGGCGTTTACTAGAAATCTTCAGCTCCTCCAGGTTACGTTGTAGAGTTTGATTCTCAGTTTCTACTTCCTGCAGCTCTGCCTCAAGCTGCTGAATCTTCTTGCTACTGTTCTCTAAAGCCTTCTGCAAGCGCTGGTTCTCTGTGTCAAGGCCCTGGTAGCTCACCTGGATAAGAAACAGACAAATTAAAACTTAATACACATCCTTCTCCACTTTAACTCATCTGCCTTCGACTTCACAGAAGCATGTCCTGTATGTCTGTAGTACCTCTAGTCTTTCTGTTTTTTTGGATGAGGCCTTCAGCAGCTCCAGGCTGCGTTTCAGCTGGCTCCTCTCGCTCTCTAGCTCCCGGTTCTCAGATTCCAGCTGAGCGGCCTTAGCTCCCGCTGACCGGAGAGACTCTGCTGAGCGCCGAAGCTCCAGGTTTTCCTGCTCCAGCTGAGAGTTATCCTTTTCTACAGCTTCTAGCTGGAAGGCCATGTTCTTCAGAGCATCCGCTTTCTTTTTCAAACGACGGCCCTCTGCTTCCAGCTCAGAGTTCTCCTTCTCCAAAGAAGTCACCTACATAAAATGGAATTATAATGAGACAAGTAGATAAAGTTCATAGAGACTGAATTTTGTACAGAAACTGACCGACAGTAAATGAACGTTGCAAAAATAATTTAAAAATATAGAAAATGAATCAAACCTTTTCACAGGTGATCCCAAGACTGGCAACTTTCTTCTGCAGACTTTCGTTTTCTCGTTCCAGCTTCTGAATCTGAATCTCCAACTCCTCAGCTCTTTCACCTTTCTCCTTCATTACTTCAAGCTCTTTACCTGCATTTAAATAAATTACTCTGTTTTACCGTGACTACGGTAAATAAATAAATAAACAAACTAAACAGTCTTCCATTAGCACAACAAAGCAACATGCCACTCACGGAGCTGCTTCCTTTCAAACTCCATCTTATTCAGCTTGGCGGTGGTCTCACAGATGGACTCGTGAAGAACACGGTTCTCCTTCTCCACGTCTTTGACGCGGGCCTCTGCTCCCACCTGGCAGCGCTGACGTAGAGATGATACAGTTTGGCTCAGGTGCTTGTTCTCTTGCTCCAGACCTTTCAGCTGGAAAACAGACAGACAAGTTTTGATAAATGTCTAAACTTATGTAGAAAATTATTTACATGAATTCAAGGCACATGCAAGTTCATGGAGGAAAAAAATGTTGTTCATTTTGTTTAATCCAACATTTCTATAGAACAAGTGTAACATTAGGGTAGAAGGTAAAGGACTTTAGAAAGCCTCTGCGTGATCATCACGTGTAATCAGAAAAGCACTGCAGCATTAGTTGCATCTCATTACGTGAACAACAAGCCGGTAAAGAAGCTGAGCACTACGTTTCATTTGCTTTTCTTCTGAGGCTCAACACAGCTGGATTTAACAAACCAGATGGTTGAATGAATCAAAGATGTCAGATCTGGTACAAACATTTACAAAGACCGTACAGAACACAGCAAGCAATGCATCACACTCACAGGTAGGCCTGTCATGATAACAAATTTTGCTGGGCGATTAATTGTCTCAGAAATTTTGCGATAAACGATAACAATGTTTAAAATGTGACAATAATTAGTCATTATTGTCACATTTAAGAAGCAATGGTGGTTAATTTTTGTAAGTAGTACCTTTTTGACCACCGGGTGGAAGTTAAGACTGAACTGAAGGATGGATAGTGAGGTAGCGAGCAGCGTGTCTCTAAGAAAAATGGGAGGGAGACCCCTTGACGTGACATGGGCTGTCTTTCCTTTTTTTTGGTTCTCAAAATGACAGACACTCGGTGTGGTTTGAGCTCTTTAGCATAGCATTTGTCACACAAAGTTTTTAATAAAAAAAAAAAAAATCAGTAAACAAGTTCTCGGCTTCTTTTTGCAGAGAAAAACAAGTTTTTACATGAAGGCACGAGTTTCAACTGTGATTTTTTTGAGCTTTGACAAGACAGAGGTTTTTTCCTGAGGTCGTCTTGTTAGCTTAGCTCTTAGCTTAGCTTCTTAGCTTAGCTTCTCAGCTTAGCTGCGTTTAACGATCCAAAAATGTGATTTTGGATCGTTAAAATGGATTTTAAAGAGAAAGGAGGAAGGGAGGGGTCAGCAAAAAGCACCAGAGTTGAGCATTTGTCATCCAGTGTCTTCAGTAGAAAGAGAGAGAAGAAGAAACGATAAAGCTGATAAATGAAAATGAGGTCGATAATTTTCATTTATCATGTTGATTTATTGTTTATTGCGACAGGCCTCCTCATAGGCAAACAGAAAGCTTTCATCCATCCATCCATCATCTTTTACCCACTTCTTCCTTTTCGGATCATGCGGGTCCCTGGTGCCCATGTCCAGTCGTCACTGTGCGAGAGGCGGGGGACACCTGGACATGTCTCCAGTCCATCACAGGGACACATAGAGACAAACAACCATTCACTCTCTCACTCACACCTAGGGACAATTTAGAGTTACCAATCAGTCTAACAGGCATGTTATTGGTCTGTGGGACGAAATAGGAGTACCTGGAAAAAACCCGTGCACGCACGGAGAAAACATGCAAACTCCACCCAGAAAGGTCCCTGGCCGGGATTCAATCTGGCAACAACCTTCCCGCCGAGAGGCAACAGCTCTACCAACTGAGCCACCGTGCCACCTCAGAAACCTTTGCACTCAATAAAACATTAGTGGCACTTTCTTAAAAATTATTGGAGGGAGCTAAATGCTAATCAACTACAAAATAATGCCTCACATAAATACTCTGTAAAAATCTAGTATGTATGTGTGTGTATATATATATATTTTTTTTTTATTTTTTTTTTTATTAAAACATTTTTTTAGAAACAATGAACGTGTTGCAGCAATGAGAGCCATCATTGATTACAGCCCAAACTTCATCTGTAACAAGAATGTTACACATGTTTCACTGTTTCAACTGTCATAATAAGTGTGTTGCTGCATATAAAACTGGCATAATGGTTTGGGAATGAAGTTAAATACTCAAATTAAGTCCCTGTATCATTTGAAGTGTGTGTCTCTAGGTGTGTGTGTGTGTGTGTGTGTGTGTGTGTGTGTGTGTGTGTGTGTGCTGTGTACCTGTCTTTCTGAGTTTTCCCGCAGCGTCTCCAGAGTTTTCTCCAGCAAAGCCTTCTCCTTCATCAGATCTGTACTCAGTGACTCAGCACTGCGGAGCGACTCTCTGTCTGCTGTCAGCTCGCTCTCCAGCTGCGCTGACTGCAAAAAAAAAAAATAATAAATTAAAGAAAACAAAATTTAAAGAACTTTAAAGGGTTTAAAATCATGATTGGTCTTTATAAAAAAACTGATGAAGGTTATGGTCAACTATTTTTCTCGTCGAATTTAGAGATTTGATTTTCTTTTTTCTCCCTTCTAAATATTGCGACTTTTTCTGCATCATTTTGTATTAAAAGATAATATTATGCCCCCTTATAACAAGTTTAAAAAATAATTAAAATGAAGGGGACTTGTTTTGTTCAAAATACAACTAGATGCTGAGCATCACATGCATGTTCAACTCTGTTAGTCTTTTTCTCTTTGCAAATTTTAAAGAGTACAGCGACAGTCTTTCACTTTTCTACAAGATGTGCATCTTTTATAATCGTTCAAAAACAATATATCTAAATGAAATCATATAGCAGAAACCACAGTACAAAGCATGATCATTTACAACACCACAAAGCCCTGAGCACAGATTATCCCTCAGTAAACTGATGATTTATTTTGAGAGGTCTAGTTTTTTTAACTCGTTTGCTGTTAACCTTCCTCCAATCTCCTGTTTTTTTGTTTTTAAAACTATATTTTGAAGTTTATTTTGTGACTGCTGCTTTAATTAATGCAGCTGATTGCACTTTTGATGATAAAGTAAAAGTAGGGATTCAAACTTCTGGTTGGGAAAAAATGGCAAACAAAAAGGAGCCTGGGTTAAAACGTATCATTTGGCACATTTGTGTCTGAAGTGAATTTTATATGAACTGATTAAAAAAGTTGTAGTTAACAGCAAAAACAAGTACAAAAAAACCCAAAAAACTCTTCACTTCACGAGTTGACGTTTAAATAAATTAATTAAAAAAACTTCAGACACAATTCTCTCATGCACACAAATATATTTTACATTCTTTTATATGTATTTTAAAAACAATTCACATAAAAAACACCTTTCAAATCTTTAATAAAAATATTGAAAAGATCACCTTATTTTACACTAACTGCAGACAATCTCATACTTCCACACTCACACAATCAGATAAACACTAAGACACTTATTTTAACACCTGAAGTCTCCCAGTGTCTGCTTTCACATTGAAATGTGCTTTGATTTAAGTCCTCAAGTCACTCAGAACAAAATTCCTCTTCTTGGATTTCCTCTTTGCGGGGACACAAATGTATGCTATTTTGTTCAGAGGACAATGAGAGAATCTCTGGAGTGTCCCAGTGTTGAAGATGGAGAGAGAATAGCAGTGCAGTGCTGCCTGATTTACAGCTTTGCTTTCCTGCTCCTTTTATTTCCTCATCGACACTGTGTGAAAAGGTCTTAAGTTAAGTGCTTTAGTGATATATTGTTGAGGAAAGCTGGTGCAAAATGCTAATAGCAGTGATGTCACTGTAGAGGGGCTATAATTTAGAAGAGTCTTTGAGGAGATTCAATGTAGGCAACCGTCTAAAGCTCCACAGAAATACCCATATGATCATTTTATTGCAATAATACTCCTCAAAAGACAGCTTTGCAAACTGTAGTGCCTAAAGACTCCAAACTTTCAGACAAGCTGATGGATGTTAAAATATATATATAAAAAAAAGGTTTAAAAACCCGTACAGTTGAACTATAACATTTAAAACAGTTATGGATGCCCACTGCTTACTTTGTGGTTCAGTTTCTGGTTTTCTTGGATGAGTTTGGCCAGTTGTGTGATGGAATCCTGACTGGCTGCTCCTCTGAGATCCTCCACCGTCTTCAGCAGGGCTTGATTTTCTCTCTCCAGTTTCAACAAGCGGCTTGACGTCAACTCGTTCACCTCCTCACCCAAAGACTTCTGTGGGACTGGATCCATAATAGCATTTAAGCATACAGTCACAGTTCAGCAGCAACAACTAGTTTGTGTCTTTAACAATCAAAATGATCAATCAGTCTATTACCCTATGGTTGACCTTTACGAGTCTTAATTCCTTTAAAGCACCTTTTAACAAACACCCACCCAACATGAAGTCTTTATCCAGATCCCTGGCTAGCTAAACCTCTTAACAGCTCATATAATCCAAACACACAGCTTATCTTTGTGGAGCCACTGAATATTAATTACAGCACAGGTCTTAACCAAGTGAAAAGAAAACCCTAGTGGAGGTTGGCAAACGCAGATGGATGACAGGATTATGGTTCAGTGACCAAAGCAGGTCTGTCTGCCATCTGCAGCCTCCATCCGGGTTAACTTGGATGCCCACCAGCTTTACATTTCTCCCACCTTTCTGCTTTTCCTCCCCCCGTCATAACTCTTGGCTTTTCTTCTTACCATCAGTCAGCTCCGGTGTCTTCGATAGTTGCTCCAGCTCCCAGCCCAAGTGCAGAGACTCATCCATGCTCTGTTTTTGGGCCATCTCCAACACAAGGTTCTCCTCCAACAGCTCCTCCATACGCTTACGGTCCAAGTCCCGTTCCTGAACATTAAGGCTTAGTAAGTTTAAGGTAAATATCTACGACAATTACTGTGTCTCCACCATAAGAGCACCATCTCACCATCTCTAGATCATGCATCTTGGATTTGAGCTGCAGATTTTCTTTCTCCAGGAGGTGCAGTTTGTCAGATCGGGTTCTGCTAGCATCCAGTTGCTCCTCCAGCATGGTTTTGGTCTCCAAGAGAATCTGATTGTCCTCTTTCAGCTCCTGCAAAGGCCACAGCACAGACAAAAGACAGGGTCAAATGACACAGAAAAACTACAACTAGCACAACATCAACACCATTAACAGGATGCAAATTGTCATGTCCACGTTCTTAATTGTTTTTAGCAACCATTTTAGCTACTGTTAGCTGTCAAGACTTGCTTTCATGACGTGCAGTTTCATACCTCCACTCTTGCCTTGTAAAACTCAATGTCATGGAGTCTCTCCTTATATCGGCTGAGCTCACTCTCCAACTTGTCGACACGTATACCTTTCTCTCTGAGGGCGTCCAGCTCGTCGCGGTAGGCCCGAGCCAACCGAGCGTCCGACAGCAGCTGAAAGCTCTGCAGGAGTGCACAAACAAACAGAGCATGAGTGTCCAGATTCATACAGCAATGACTGAAATCATAGACAGGCCTGAAAGCCTGCAGTCTTAAAGGATTATTAGATTATCTAAGAATAATGTTTTTATTTTGTATATTAAACAGAACACGTTCACTTTTATCAGTATTCAGAAAATGCAAACCCATCCTCTCCTGGGCTCAGTCCAAAGTGTCCTCAGCAGTTCTGTGAGATCAGAGCTCAATGCAAAAATCAGAAGCCATGTGAGGCTGCAGCCTGACTAAAAATAGTGTGAATAGCCCCTAATGAGCTAAATCACCCACTAGCCGATTAAAGCCTGGCAGCGGTTTAGAAACAAAGTACTTGGAACCAGAAAAGAGGAGCAGGTGGAGGCAAGGGGAGGTCCTTCAAATGGCTGTGTGTCAGGTGCACAAGGTTGTGTTTGAGTGACTGGGATTGGTGACCTCTTGCTGAAGTCTCTTGAGCTCCACTTCCATGTTCTCCAGCTCCTGTCTGGTGTCCAGAAGCTGCTCACTCTTCTCCTCTCTGAAAAAATAAAACAAGGATTAGGAAGAGGGGAAAACTATTACTACAACTGATTACCTTATAACCGATTCAAGAAGGCCAACAAAGCTAATTAACATTAGCAAACACCAAAATGGCTGTAACTCAATCACTTTTCCAGATATCGAGTTAAAATTTGGTGAGTTGTTAGTAGCTGAGAGTTACCCACAACATATTCATTCAACCTTTATTTAGACAGGTTAATCCCATTGAGCTTCAAGGACTCATTTACAAGAGAGACCTGATTTCAACAAAGAATGATGACAACAGTGGACAGTGAGCACTAACAAACATTATCTTTGTATCAAACTTTGGTAATTTGTATCTTTGTGTCTTAAAATATCTCATGAACCATTGGATGGACTTTAGTGAAATTCCCAAAAAGTAATCGTTGGATGTAATTTACAAATGAACGTTTGGAGTTACCCAGATTCAAAATGGCCCCTACTTTTAATCAACCTTAGCAAACACAAATATAGATAGCCCAGTTTATTTATTTTACAGATACTGAGGTAAGATGTGGTGTGGTAGTAGCTAAGAGTCATCCTCAACATATACTCTCACAAGATCTTTGTTTAAAACGTATGTAAGGTAGAGTTGCATTAGGGCCCAAAAAAATCCAATCCGACCCGGCCCCAGCCCGTAGCCATCATTTACGAACCCTACCCGACTCGATGAATTAACAGTAATTACTGGTCTGAACCCCCCAAAACCTGACATTTTTAATTAAGCTTTGACTGCTATATATTAACGGTCGGTGGACGCGCGGTAAAGTTAGTTTTACATTGGACATTCGAGCTTCGTGGCTTCAGCGGTGTGCTCCTCTCGTTCGAGTTCGGCTGACTGAAATCAGACTGCCTGCATCAGATTGAACAAGAGGAACACACCGCTGAAGCCACAGAGCTCGAGTGTCCCAAGTAAAACTAACTTTACCGCGGTGACGCGCGGCTGAATAAAAGGAGCAGAAGATCGGAGCTGTGGGGGTGTTTGTCCTTTCATGGCCATCAGAGCATTAAAACCCTGTTTCTGCCTGCATTCTGATTTATTCAGACACGGACCCTGCTCTGACATGTCTGCTTTGGGATCTCACCTGTTTGGGTTGTCAGCCGCGCACGTCCGCTGAGTGCAGCGGCAGAATGAACGTCCATTTGGGCTTTGATAACAGTTACTGTTTTAAATGTGCTATATAAATAAATGTGACTTGACTTGATGGATCATCGCCTGGCAGTAAAGTAACAACAGAAGCTTAACTGAACTTTATTTTACCTCTTTGAAGGCCGGTCAGTTTGTGGTGAAATGGCTGCGTGCGACTGATGAAGGCATGGAAAGCCATGTTATCATACAATTAGATTTTATGGCAAGCCATGTTGCCATATTTGCCAAACTTTTTAACTCCTCCTCCTTTCTGCATATAGGACAATAAAATTAATCCTGTACCACCATAAACTCTTTAATGTCTCTGTCTGCACCTGACCTGTTTAGAACTTAATTGTTGGTATTTCTTAAAAATATTTTTTATATTTTCTGTTATTTTTTTTATATTCTCTGTTATTTTTATATCTTGTGATTCCTTGTGTATGTTCCTTTGTATTGAAACTCTGGCAACAATTTCTTGCAGGATCAATAAAGTTCTATCTTTTTGGATGTTGGCTGATCTGCTGACGCCATCAAAAGCCAGATACCGACCCGGCACACCATCATGGCCCGGCCCGCCCCGAATTTGGGTCAGGTTGGGCTTCGGGCCCGGGTTAGAAATGACAGCTCTAATGTAATGTGATATGCATGCCCTTCAAGATTGCTAGTTTATTTCATAAACATTTTACCGTTGCTAAACAAATAGCATTGACATGCTCTCACAGAGTATAAAATGAGTGTGTGACATTAAAAAATAAAGCAAAACAGAAGTAAGTAACTCCTGTATTGATCTGACATAACTGAATTCCTAAATTGTCAGTTTGTTTTTTGGTATGGTTTGTTTTTTCTTCTCATTTTGGTTGCCTCATGTTTCTCCCATTCATGATACAAAAGAAAGAAAGAAAAAAAAAAAAACTGTCTCGAACAGAAGAATTAGAAAATTCATGCGACTAGAGTTCACATGGAGCAAATATTCCCCTGAGGCTAAAACGGTTCATCCGTCTAAACTTGGAGGAGAAACAATTACATAATAAACTAAAGCAAAAGAAAATTAATCATCTTTTCAACTTCAATTCCAGTTTCTCTTCTGCATTAATGCTCATTACAATTAGAAGTATGACTGCTGATACAACAGGGCTGCTTGGTGTTTCGCTGTCTTCATGTTTGTACAGATTTTCTCGGCTCCAACTGTAAAAGGGAGAATCTGTCGCTGCTTTAAAAGAAAACGGCTGCATTCCTGAGATGCTGCTGCGTGCGTGTGTGTTTCCATGAAGCCGCTCTACTGAACATCTGATGGCCTATTTGATTACAGCTCTCTGGAGTCTCAAAGTACATTTCAATAAGCACAGGCACCCTTTTTTAGTCTTATTATCCTCCACCTCTCATTCATCTCAGGCTTCCTCCCAGTTAGTTGGGAAGTTGTACAATTTAAAACCAGGATGTCCTTTCACACTTATCAGTTTTTCTTTTAAACCAGTAAACTCATTCATTTCATGCAGCTCTTAAGTTTGTCTCACTGTGCTGCTTATTAAGACACATTTCAAATATAAAACTACATCACCATAAACAGTCATGAGGTACTGATCACTTTCATACAAACAAAGGTTATTACGTTCACCTGCAAGTTGCTTAGCTCAATATATTTTACAGTAGAGTTAATAAAAATGAACTACTTTAAGGAAAATGGTGTGATCACTTACAGAGATTAAAATATTCCAGACTGGGTTAACATGCTGCTAATTTGCGGACATATCAAAACAGCTAAATAAGCAGAGCAAGTTTAGATTTGATATTTCTACATGCCTGATCTACTTATGTTTAGTGATGTATTAACTTTTTCACAAACTCTGAAGGATCACGAGTGAATAACTATCTTTAATGATTTACCATTGTCGAGATATTCACACTTTGTTCCAAATGAGTTTTAAATTGTATCAGACGGCTTTGAGAAACATCACGGTTTATAGAACCAAACGAGCTGAATTGTTATGTTGATAACATCAGTGTGTGTCTGCGCCAAATCAAGGGACCAAAAAAAGCAGTTAAGCTGCAGCCACTTTACCAAAAACATTAACAAATAGACCACTGTGGGAACTGCAGCGCAGCGCGTACCCTCCGGCTCTGGCCTGGTGACACTCTGATACACTGGACCACACAGAAGAAGCACACAGCTCCACATCTGTACACAGAGACATGACCTGAGCTTGGATTTACTGTTACAACAAGCATTCTTCTCCTCTGCATTAAACAAGCAGCCAGCAGTGGACCACATATTAAGACTGGGAAGTTTGTGTGCGTTTCTTGTACATTTCTACAAGAACTTCATTTCCTGTTTAGAGCTACTGAAGAAAGAATTATAATGCAGGTCAGGAACGTGTCAGGGTGATAAATGTCAATCCTTTAAAGCATAAATCCTAATGAATTAGGGTCACTTAAAGTAAAATGGTTTCCATTTGACCAGTCAGAATATAAAAAAAAAGAAATGCAACAGTTAAAAAGCCATAATTTAGGCCTACACTGTTCTTGCACAGATGAAAACAAAGACATGATGTCATGCTAAATACAGGGAGAGGACGCTGAAGCTTTCTGCAAGACTAAACACTGCACTTCTGCAAATCAGACAGCAGCATGCTCAGCCTTTAAAAACCTGCAGGAGCTTTTACTTCTTTTTTATGGACTGATGTGATTGGAAATCATGTGGGCACCTTAACCACGTTTGTTTTCTTTTGAACTGCGCATCATCTGAGCTGAACCGCGCTCTCTGTCATGATAACTTCAAAGATACAATCTGTTTCAAACAAAAGGACAATTCCTGCAACACTCGTCTAAAATCAACAGCAGCTCCAAGACGCCAAGATGTCTGTTAATACAGATAAAGTTTGTGAGACAAACTTCCTCTTTAAAAGAGGAGCAAAAATAAAGTCAGTCGTCCTTTTTCAGCTCATCTGTCAGCTGTTAAGCTCGTCCGACAAGAGAATGCAACGCTTTTAAAAGGAAGTTGTATTATTCATGAGCAGAATTTATCAGGCCTATTTAAAGGCTGGGGAAGCAGTTTTATTCCTGTCGGTTTGTTTAGGGCAGTGCGGCGTTGCAACAGCAAAGTTTAACGAGAGCAACAAAGTTCTGAGAACGTTTCCACACAAATGTTATTTTACAAGTACGTAAGAGCCGTGTTTAGCTCAACTCTGCTGATACACTTAAAGAGTTTGCTCTACTAAAAATAAACTATAGTTTACTTAAACATTATCCAACCTCACTGCAATCAAGCTGGGTGATCTGGTGTAAAAACATTACATTTTGAGGATTTATTGCCATCGATATTTAAACATATGCTCCAAAACACTAACGTATAAAATCTATCAGATTTTTTTTTATTGATTTGCAGGTAAAATAAAAAAAATGGTATCAAGTTGAATGTTAACCAGGCAGTTGCACTCATGAACTGTTAGGTCTTCCTTCAGTGGTCTTGCGTGAATGTTTATGAAGCATTCACACTATTGTGATCCATTTTTCTTCTGTACATTTTTCAGCGTCTTTCTTGTTCCACAGTTTTTGTGCCATTTCAACAAATCATATATCCAAAGGTTCAGCTCTTTCAGGAGAAGGGTGCCATGACTTTTTGTATTGGTGCAACTTTAGCTTTTTGAAATATTTGGACTTTTCTGACACTTTTTTTCCTCATAGAAAATTAATTGAGCTCATTTTCCATCCATCCATTATCTTTAGCCACTTCTTCCGTTTGGGGTCACGAGGGTCGCTGGTGCCCATGTCCAGCAATCACTGTGCGGGGGGCGGGGGACTCCCTGGACAGGTCTCCAGTCCATCACAGGGCCACATGGAGACAAACGAGACAAACAACCATTCACTCTCTCACTCACATCTAGGGAAAATTTAGAGTTACCAATCAGTCAGAAACCAGAATCAATCAGAGGAAACCAGAGTACCCAGAAAAAACCCATGCATGCACAGAGAAAACATGTAAACTACACCCAGAAAGGGTGTGCTAATTTTTGCTTATTTAAACATAATTACCTAATTATGTGTTCTTTCTGCTTTCTTCTGCTAACTTGGGCTTTTTCTTCCATTTCCGCTACAGTTCAGAATTTATTTAGCTAATTTCAGTTGTTTTTCAACACGTTCTTCCGCATTAAGCATTCACACTGTATTTTCACAGGAAATTCAATTTCTCTAAGTTAAGATTTTTTACACACTTTAAGATGCTGCTGACTAAAACATAACTATTCTTTGAAGGAATGCATGTTGTCTGCCATCTTACAAGACAATGTTCTCATGATCTCACGCGATCGGTTAGCGCTCAGCAGGTTGATGGGGATGACGGATACTCCCCCACAAAAATTCAGCGCATTATCTGTAAAGGGACAGAGTTAGTCATTTTTGCCTCTGCTAAGATTAATTTGCTGAGGCGGCCAGCTTGAATCAGATTGACTTGAAAGGGAAAAAGTTAGACCTTCCATAAACTCCAGATTCTTTCAACAGATTTTCTTTCAGACTGTATTCTGACGCAAACATTCAGTTCTTTAATCACTTGTAAATGTGTAGCAGAACAACAAGACAAATGTTTTCATTAACCAGCATCATAAAGTCTTCACAATTTAAATTAAATGTGGTACAAACAAGTTAAAAAAAAAAGATTAGTATCAGTTTTATTTCACTTCCTCAAAAACAGTTCACTCGAACTCTTGACTCTTTTCCAGGTTCATTTACTCGCTCCATTTACAGAACCACTGATCAGCCGATTAGGCTCTAGCACTCACAGTTCCTGTCGCAGGCGTCTGATTTTGGCCTTGGCATCAGCCAACTCCACGGAGAGGTGCTGTCGACTTTCAGTCCTTCTCATACTGGGGGAGTCACCAGGAGACTGGGTGGCACAGGGGGCCAGTGGAGACAGCTGCACACAGTCTCTCTCCTGGGTGAGCTCCACAATCGTCTGAATAAAACATGGGAAAAGTGCACAGGTGAGGTGCTGTGGGAATGAAAGGCAACTGAATCAGTCGGTGATTTAAGGAAAGGAACAGAGCATACTTTAAAAAAAAAAAAAGAAAAAACGATCTACAGATTTAAAAGCAAAGCAGACTTAATGTTTAAAAAGTCAAATGCAGACTTTAGGTACACAGAGCCTATTTGGTTCTACTGCTCGACAGGAAATGGGATTTTAATGGAGAGCGGCTGGACTATTCAATGATAATCTGGAGGCTATTAGAACCTTCTTACAAGCACCCACACACAAAATCAGTGATATCAGTAAAGGGGATCTGCACCCCATGGGTTGGAAACTCATTTAATGACGCATGTAGTCAAAGTAAACCCCCCCCACCAATGACAGTTAATGAAGTCAAGCCTTCCTTACTCAGGCTGCTCTTTTGTGGTAACAGCAAAAAAAAAAAAAAAAAAAAAAGTTTCCACACAATTGTGCCAGAAACAGTCCATGATTGTCACTACTACCAAATCTTCCAGTGAATAGATGAAAGATAACTTGTGCAAAAAGCCTTAATAAAGCTAGTTATAAACTGCTCTTCATCACCTCCAGCTGTGTGTCCCTTTCATCCACCAGGTGTTTGAGGTGGAAAGCCAGATTTCTGGATAGGCTGTCCAGATCCTCGTTGGGCACTTCCCCACTTTCCAACCACTGCAGGTCCACCACATTCTCCTGGTTATGAGTCACCTAAAATAAATACGTTTTCTGATTCAAACAACTTTATACTAGTGAAAAACACAATTATTTATCAACTGAAGGAGAAATACCTCTTGGATGTGAGATGCGATGGCAGCTTTGGTGTCAAAATCCAGGGTCTGGATGCGCTCGATGTACTCTTCCTTCTTCTCGCACTTTAAAAAGAGACACGGTGAGTTGAAAGTTAATGTTGTGAGTATAATTCCCAATGTGGTGAGAAGAGGATGATTTGATTAGCACAGAACAAGATGGTTCACTGGAGTCACTGTTTCAATGCATCACAAATCAGAGAATATTTAATGCAACAATGTGTTTGTGTAAACTTAGAGCATAAATTAAACTGTAGTTATTATGTACAAACAGCAAACTAATAAGAAATGGATTATTTGAATTCTAATGTTTATGATTCATTACACATTATCCTCATCAGTGACACCAATCCAAATCAACAAATGCTAATTGATAGAAATTTGTTCCAAAATCTTATTATGCATGCATAAACATGAGAATCCATCCATCCATTCCATCCGTCCAACCATCCATCCATCAATAAATTCAGTACTTTGAGTAAGTGTGTCATAAAACAATGTGAAATGAATTTATTTCAAAGTTTTGACTTGTTGAATTATAACTTAAAGCAACTTAATGATTGTGGATTACTTGTGAACTTCCTCGGTTCCCAAACCTAAATTAAATACAGATCCAGTGTGTAAAGTACTCATAAAGACTAAACTCTGCTCTTACCTGGACAGCACATCCTAGAAGCAGCAGCAGCAGCTTTTTCGTCTCCTCCAGACCTTGATCTAGAAAAAAAAAACAAAAAAAAAACAAGAGTAAATGTTATGACTAGTGGAAGAAAACCTAACTACAACTATATAAATCAAGATGCAAATCACTGAACAAACATGTTTTTATGACTGATAGGTGGGTCTCGTTCATTCCATGTTACACCGTCTAGTTTTGTTGAATCACGTTTTATGATTTTTCTAAGTAAATCTGACCAGGTGGTGTTTTACATTTTTGACAGTAGGAAAAATGCACAAATCAAGCTTCAACATTGAAAATTATAAAAATTTGAGAAATTTAAGACATTTGTGAACTTTAAGCTAACAAAGGTTAAGATTTGTCTTTTCTTAGCAGATGGGGTCTCACCCATCTGACAAATATAATGATCATTTTAAAACAGAACTGCAGGAGCACAGCTCAAATCTGACTTCTGTCTGGAAAAGCAGGAATTAGTTCTCCGTCTTTCCCACATTTACTTCCAATTAGTTAAATTCTTGGGTTGTTACAGTTTCCTCTTATAAATCCCTCCCTCCAGATCCAGTCCCAATGTTTTCCATGGGACTGGCAGGATGAACTTCCAGCACTCTTCCACATGTCGGGACATATTGCCACTGCTGAAACCTACAAACAGATGTCTGCTCAACAGGCCTCAGCTCATCTGGGGATTTGGGACTGAACAGCAAAGCAGGTGGTGTGTGTGTGTGTGGGTGTGGGGGGGGGGGGGGGGGGGGGGGGGTTAAACTAAGTGGTAAGGAATAAGCAGTTGCCAATTTATGTGCATCTATTCTATCACTATATGATTTTTATTGGAATCGGTGTGTGTGAGTGTGTGTGATAAGGCCGGCTCATGATGTGGCCGAGGGAGCAGCGAGTGCCAAAGTTGTTCCGGCTTTAATGAGAATAAATCCAGCTTAGTGACAGCATGCTTTCTGTGCAGGGCGGCCTGTTTGCACGGTACTTTGACAAGCCTATCATTGATGAAGGAACTGCTGAAAACAAAAATCTGATCCAAAAATTTACAAACAAACAAAATTTAAAACTACAAAAAAAATATTAAAATTACTTTAGCCTTATTGGTAAGTAAGGAATATTTGCCATTTAAGAAAATAGCCAGTCTGAAAAATACAGCTATGACCTAATTGGGTCCAATTTGCCAACAGGTTGTGAAAAATAAACTTGTTAAATTTCACTTTTAATTTTGTCAGAGCCCTCACAGGGGCCACAAACTAGTTTTAGATCATAGCTAGCAGAAACTTACACCTTTGCAGCAGCTGATTAAAACTTTTACATTAGTTGTTAAAGTCAACCCTGTTAGCAAAAAAAAAATAAAAATCTCATAATTCAGTGGATGGATTTAAATGAAAATCTCAAAGAAATAACTGGATGTATATCTAAGTTTTGGAGTCATTTAGATTCAAGCTGATGTGTATATGTAATCACCCTTAAAAAGTGGCTAGAATTTGATCAGTTTTACAGATATTAAGCTATAATGTGGTGTAGTAGTATTTGAGTCATCCCCAAGACATACTCTATGAGTGCTAGCAGATCATGCAAGATCTTTGTTTAAAAGTTTGGACTGCATGGTGGTGGGCGATATGTGTTCCTCCAAGGAATGCTTGTTTTGTTAGGATAATTAAACCTAATCAGTTTGAGAATTTAAAAAAGCAGAGTGAATCGATCGTATAACAGTTGATGGTGAATAAAACGTGTGCTTTGTAAATGTTAATTTTGAGAATTTTACTTAAAATGCATCACAGTGAGTAGGGTTTCTAAAATAACAGAATGGACTGAGCTAAACATTTGACAAAATTTGAGGGAAACCCCTGTTCGATAAACAAATTTGATAGTAAATTGTTACGTGTTCCTTATATTGAGGCTGCCTAGGTCACGTGCCTGTATTTAAAAAATATATATATTTTGTAAAAGAAACAGACCATTTTTAATGCCAAAATCAGAATGAACTTTATTATTATTATTAATTTATTGCACAGTTAATCTCAATGAAAATAAATTTCAGTGCAGCCGTCCAAAGAAAACGAGTGTAGACAGAGGTGTACGGAGGCTGCAGCGTCAATGTGAAGCGCTGCCTTTATCGTTTAGATAAGAAAAAAGAAAAACATGAGGAAAGAAGGAATAAAAAAAAGATCTCTCACACTTTGTCCTTGACACAGAACACATTGTAAGATAACAAAAACCCTACCTCAGCACAAAAAAAAGCAACAAAGACACACATTGGGGGGGGGATGCGACAAAGGCGGTGAGATTGTCCGTGAACACTGTCAGAAAGTTCCATAGTCCTGATAAAGATGGTACAGTGTCCATCAGCTGGCTCAGTTCTGATAAAGATCCACAGATGTTCTCAAGTGGGTGGGGGAAGCAGAGCTTCATGAGTTCCATATCCTCCAGGAGCAATCTGAGATAAGTTGGCCAGTCCAAGGCCAAGCGGGGAAGCCAGATTCAGATAAACAATTGTTTTGGGACAGACCGACTCCACTGATTTCATGTCTGCCTTCGTAGTTCTGCTGGTACACTCAATGGCAAATCCAAACAGCCAGATTTGTGGTCATTCCACCAGTGCGTGCTTGTAGCCTTCTCCAAGGTTGATTCCTTCATGCCAGCAAGTTCCAGGTTCGCAAAGCATCTGAGTCTGAGCGCTCAAAGCACGGTACAATCCTTCACATAGGCAGGCAGCCTCACCATTGCCAAAACTGCTGCTGCCGTCTTCCTAATTTGTCGATATCCCAGGTACCCGCCGATTCCAAAGAGCAGATAATCTTGTTGTTGTAATCCAATTATGTATGCGTCTTCAACCTCCTCAACGGACAATACGGACAGACACATCATCTTCCATTCTCTCCAGGAATCCATGATATAGCCAGCTGTGTGTGTCCCTTCAGGGCACGAGGGTTCTCCTGCACATCGTTTTCTCATTGAGAATTTTTTTTTTCTTTTGCATTGAGAGAACATCTGATCAGATCCATACTTTACGATTTGGAAGACGTGTAAGGAGAGGCTCTGAGAAAGATTCCCAGGACAAGAGCAAAAGCAGGAGGGAGGCAGGAGAGAGAAAAGAAACTGTCCGTCTTCGTCGAGAGCAAGTCAGAAAAAAAAAATTCTGATTACACTGCATTCTTATAAAATATAAACATCATAAATCTAAAATTACAATATATCAGACACTTCTGTTCTTAGCCTGTGAAAACCCTGAAGTTTCTGATATCTTGTATAAATTTCATCAAGAACGAAGTCATTACATTCTGAATGGCTTTAGTTATTAAGGCAGGAGACTGGACCAATAGATGCCCATAACCACCACCCCCCACCACCCATCTTCACAGAATGATTAACAATGACATTGCCATGTGAAGGGTTAGTCATTGTCCTTTTGACCTCTTGTTCCTGCCAACACGACAAAATGGGGCCGGTGAAAAGGGAGGTTTAGATTTGTGACTTCAGCTGGACGTTGGAGGCACAGATGATTTACCGTCGTGTTAAAGGAAGGAAGGAAGGATGGGTGGATGTATGGTGCAGAGAACACATGGATGGATGAAACTAGTGGGCGACGTCCTTTAAGCCTTTGCTGCTGGATAGACACGTCTATTTTCAACCTTGCCTCTGCCTCCCGCTTGCTGCTCCGTCTCTCATTTGATTTCTATATTTTTATCATCTCCCCTCGTGCTTCACCGTGCTTTCCCTCTTCTGTCTCGTTTTTCCTTTCATCTTTCCTTTCTGCTGCTCCTCCTTGTTCTTCCTTTCAGACCTTATAAATATTTTATCCTGTGAGGTTCCTTATCTTTCCTGGGTTGCTCCAGTAGATTTGCTGAACAAAATCTCTTCCCTGACTAAAATAGGTTCCTATAGCTATTATAGAATATTGTTAAGCCCTGCAGCTTTGAGAATTAAGTTTTACTTGCTGCCACCTTTCTATACCCAAATCAGCTTATATTTGCTTTTGTCATATTTAATTCTTTAATTATCTGGGCAGGTGGTGATAATGAATGCAGACAAACTGCTTCTTCCCTCTGTGTGACTAGACACTTTCAGAATTTACCCTGAAAATAAAGAACACGCCAAAGAATTATTTTTATTGCAATTAAAATGCCTTTTTACTTGCTACAAAATGTAGTAGGTAGCTATGCAACTTTCAAAAAGTTGATATGAAAACAAGAGCTTCAATTCCTTTTTTTTTTTAATGTATTTTATAGTACAATATCATGATTAAGATTCCAATGACTAACTTAATGACCTGAAACAAATACTTCTTTCTGTGCAGTGTTAAGTCCTGGCAGCAACTGAAAGTGGTGCGATAATTGCGTAATGATGGTGATAATCTTAGATAAGCTGTTGTTTAAAGTTGTATATATTCAGTGTTTGTACGAAGTGATTGCAGTATGGAATAGAAAAAAAACATGGTTGACACTCTCAAACCTTGACCTCTACATTTCTTCTGTCCAGACTTCAAAATACCGTAGTTTTTGCCATATAAGGTGCACCTTTTTGCATAAATTAGCATGCCTGTGACTTATACACCAAAGCGACATATTTATGTTTTTTTGCCCCATATTTTTAACCCAATTGTTGGCTGAGATCTGGCGATTTAATTCTTTCTGACATGGAAAATGTTGAATACTACCATTTTCAGCCACTAGAGGGCTGTTGACTGATATGGCAAGAAAAGCGTCTCATCAATAGGTAAAAGTGGCTATTAATGAGACACGTGGCTTGCCATACCAAGCCACCTTCATCTTGCTCCATAACTCCTGGAGCAAACCTCAAATCAGCTGCATTTTGTCACACCGCCCAGGTGAAATGCAGCCGATTTGATCATTAAAATTTATTAAGGAAAAGTTCAACTGAGACACAGCTTTACTATAATTTTGAGCAAACAAATACTTGTTTTTAGGTGGTCATCTTATTAAATTTTGAAGAAATGCACAGCAAGTCGTCTCTGCGCGCTCCCGCAGCCACAATCGGCTTTTGAAATGCAGCTGATTTGACCGTCAAAGTGCATTTATTAAGGAAAAGTTAAACTGAGACACACCTAATGTCGAGCAAACAAATGATTGTTTTTAAGTGTTAATCTTGTTAAAAGTCCTCCCATGCACGCTCCCGCGACCGCCATTTGGCAGCTAATCGATTTTTGGCACAACACCGGCCCACATTTCCGAGTGGTCAGCGGCGACACATAATAGATGAGACTTATATGGCAAAGTGATGTATTTATGTTTTTTTCCACTTTATTAGACATATTTGGACTGATGAGACTTATACGGCGGTGCGACGTGTACGGTGGCAAGTACGGTATTAGTGGCTCATGTTCTTTTTTGTATTTTCTCCGAGCTGCTGTGTCTGACCTAAAAGCTGGAAATCCTCCCTCAGAGCTTTGTAAAAGCAAAGCAAACAATTTTCCTAGGGCTGAAAGTTGGCACAAACATATTTACAGCACAATTTTCAAAGACATATTTTAACATGCAGCAGTTATTTTATTACACTTGTTGTTCTGAGTAAGAGCATATCAAACTGGGTAAAATTAACTACTGATTGGCCAACGTATAAGGAAACAATTCTGAAAACAACAAAAGAAAACCCTGATAATTCACAGATTTACATTAAATTTGGGAGAGTGCGTTCTCTGCAACCACAGTGGCTAAACATGCGAGCACAAGAGACCGTGCAGCTAACTGAGCATGTTTATGCAAGGCAGCCAAGGCTAGCTCAGAGCCTTCAGGGCGTACTACAGTGCATTCCCACTGTTCACCGTTGTGAAGACACCCCTCCCCCACTCGCCAAGTAAATGAACACGTGCATGCACCCACACACACACGCCGAGCTGTCCCCGACCCCCAAACGAGAGCATAATAAAAGCCACATGGCCGATGACTTTCAGCTGGCAGCCACCGAGCTGGATTCCTCATTCACCGCTGCTCTGACTGACCTGCTGACTGATTTTGTGACAAGATAGAGGATAAAGGGCAATGGAGACGTTTAGGACTGCTGCCTAGTGCTTACTGTCCATTCCTGTCCACCTTACAAACGCCGTTTGTTGGTGATTCGATCGTTTTAGCTTTGTGTCGGCTGTAAACTTGAGACCTTTGACGCGTCTAATCTTCAGAACTTTACTGCTGTTAAATTGGCTGCAACGTGTTCAAACAAAAGATATTTTGGGAGACTTGTTCAACAAGGGTTTTCTTTCGACTTCACAGTGATTACAAGCGATGACATCCAGAAACAAAAAAAAAGAAAAATGTTGTGAAAGATGTCCAAAACCTGGTGTGGAAGATTAATGTGTACAAATGTGTCCACTGCCTTTGTTCGTGTATTTACCTTCTATGCTGGTGAGGGTGAATAAAAGTTGTCAAATGAAAAGCATTGGAAACCCACATGGATAATCAATGGTGTTGAAAGTGTGGCAACACCTGCCGAGGGAAGATGTGGGTTTTAAAACGGTTTAATTTGCTTAAAGAGGCAATGGAGGTGTGCCAACAGAGCCAGGAAGCACTTCATTGTGAAGCTCTGATGACAAAGTGATGAACAGACACAATAACCTTGGTGTGGACTGCTAAAATTATTTGTTTTCCACCCATTCCAAAAAAAAACAACTTTGGATAAAAGGCTCATCGTAATCCAACAAACACCTTTTGTTTTCCTCCATCTTTTTATATTCGGATATCATGTAGCATTTGGGGCTGCAGAGGTCAAGATGTTCAAAAATGTTTTTGTGACACTGAAACACTCGACACCGGGCCAAAGTTGCCCTAATGCCACTCAGACGTATCAAATAGCATGACTGGGTTCAGCAGGTCAAAGCACCGCTGCATAATGATTACACGAATCTAACACTTCGAGCTCTACAGATCCGATCAGCTGTAATGTCCCTTGGGTGACAAAGATTTACAATATTACATCTTAAACTTTTACAAAAACTAATTTGGTTGAGCGTTTGAAGCAAAACCATTAATCTGTCCAATTTTCATCTGCTCAACAACGGGACATTTTTACTTTCTTTTATTAAGTTTTCATTACTCCTATAAAGTCCAATAGTTAAAAGGCACATTGTCAAAATAAATGTCTTACTGTGGAGCTCGGAGGCAGAAAGTGGCTGTAAAATGAAATCTACAGCTAAAGAAGAGTCACATAAAAAAAATAAAAAACATCAAAGTAACAGATAATTAAAGTCTGGCTGATTTCTGAAGCTGTACAAAAATGCGAGTGTCCTCTTTGTGAACTGCCAGAACGCTGTCTGCATCAGTCTGAGTACTGCTTTGGAGCATTGAAATGAAACTGGCGCAGCACTATTCAAAGTGCTGTTATTGTTGTACTCTCCATGATGCAGTCACTTACCAGAGAGAGGGCTTCTGCCCAGCACCAGAACATTGGGTAAAGGCATCATCACTAGCTGCTGGAGACTCTCCTGTCACACACACAAAAAGACAAAGAAGGTCAAAGTAGGAAGACGGGCAGATATTTAGTACTTAAAAATTACAAAACTCTTAGCCAAATAACTTTATTCAGGTTTTCAGAGATTTTACCAGCTTGATTTTGTCATACATGCAAACAAGTTGAAGCACTTCATCACCTACTGAGGCCAACAAGGTCATTCAAGATCTTCGAAATCAACCAGAGCAAGAAAGAAAAACACAAAAACACTCTCCTCAGGGCTCTGACAGCAGCTTAACAATTTCTTTTAACGCATTAAGACCACGACAGCTCTGGAGTGAGTCTTTTATTGTTCCAGGGATTTAATGTTATTAAAAATCAAAAAGTAGCAATTTAAATATGTGCAGCACACAAATAATTGTGTAGAAGTATTTTCTGTTAAACAGATAAAGTCATAAATATTCAGCTCACATCCCTGATTTTTTTTTTTAAACTAAAACATTTATAGCTTCAGTCTTTAAAGAAAAACAGTATTTTTTGTCTCCACAGGGAAAATAGGTTACAAGTTGCTTGATAAATACAATTTCAATAATAAATGCACAAATACAGAACTGCATGAACAAAATCCATTAAAATGAAATAAAATACAAATAGGTGTGTTAAAAAGAAGAAAAAAAAATCCCAATTATTTAAATGTGTATATATTAAAAGCAGATTTCTACAAACAAAAAGTTTACGAAGATGAGTTACCTCGACTCGTTCATGTTTTACTTTATGAGAGCGGCAGCTTCAGCTCGTGTGAGCCGACAGTTCAGCTGCTGTGTGCAGGTTACTGCTGAAGTCACTGCAAAGAGGCTTACATACAGTAAATGTGGGGTTTGTAAAGATTTCCTTTATGCAGTAACCATCTGCTCTATTGCATTACCTCATCGTGGAGGTAAAAAGGGGAATGGAAATCTGACATCACTTAGTGTTTATATTTGGATATAATGTAATTTCAGTTTAATGCAATTTAGTTTATTTACATCCTATTATTCTGTTACAAAATGTCTTGTAGCACAATGAATTCAAGGCAATCCAATTAATTCAAAACAAAGAGAATCAACAGTTTAATGGCTGCACAATGTTAGAAAAATATGCTACATCAATAATAAAGATTGCTTTATTTATTGCCAAATAGATATGAAACTGTTATACAGTAACAAGATATTTGTGTGGGCTTTTGGTGCAAATTTGGCATAACTGTTGAATAGTGCAATGACAACAGCTTCAATTAAACACACATTTTAAGCACTCGTTTTGTTCGGTTGATGATCACAACACGTGTTGAACAACTCAGCCCCTTTGTTCTGAAACAGCTGTGGACAATGAGTCCATCAAATAGTTCACCTGAAATATAACAGCCTAGGATTTATTGCAGTCCAAGTACTGGTAGTTCTTTGCAGCACTGATGTTGTGCATATGATACTGATAGTACAATACCATCTTTATAATCAACTAAATCTGCTGCATTTGTAAAAGAAAGATCAAAGCTAGAACATAATACAATACTACTAATAATACTAAAATGTACTTGGCACATTTCCTTTCCCTTCAAGTCTAAAGTAGTTTAGTGAAATGTCAAATTTGTAATATTTTATTCATTTTTTTTGTCTTTAAATTTCTAACATATTGTTTTTTGCATAAATTGTCAAATGGAAAAAATTTAAAAAATCCTTGTTGGAAGCTTGTGGTCTAAAAATTAGCTACATGTTGAAAGCAAAACTGTTTAAAAAGTATATACTGGACCAAGGTTCGATGGTGTTCAGTTTAAAGCTCCGGTCCCAAGCAGATGTGACGAGACGTTGCAACAAGACGGGACTCATACTGCTGAACTAGTATCTTTTAAATTCACGAGTCCGTGTGACCCATTATGTGACCCATTATTAGAACACATTTACAAGCTTCACAACAGACTCAAAAAACCCAGAAAGATTCTGTGACCTGAGGTAAAGGTCAGAGACTGAATCGCAGACATTGTCCTTTTTAGGTCAGGAGCACAGTTGCTATGGTTTCCCCTCAGATCAGAGAAGATAAGAACATCAACTCCATTTGCTCTGACACTAAGGGGCATAAATAGAGCTGGTTTTTTTTTAATAGTCTCCCTACAAAGTAGTGTTAAAAATTAATATTTTACATTATATTTACAAATATTGATTTGTAAACCACACCGAGCATCCGCCATTTTGAGAACCGAAGAGAGACAGTCCATGTCACTTCAAGGGGCCTCCCTCCCATTTTTCTTAAAGAGACACGCTGCTCGCTCCCTCACTATCCATCCTTCGGTTCAAACAGTCTTATACTTCCATCCGGTGGTCAAAAAAATGTACTACATGCAAAACAAATTAAACATTTCTTCTTATATTTGACAATAATGACTAATTATTGTCACGTTTCAAACAATATTGTCGTTTATTGCAATAATTTCTGAGAAAATCGCCCAACAAAATTTGTTATCGTGACAGGCCTACTGACAACGAGGATCAACATCAAGGTGAAATAAGCAAACAGCCATCCAGTGTGAAAACTGAGACAGATTGACTCAACAAGCGTTAGACAGAATAATCACCGTGCACGGCCAGCCACAGTTGGTGTCCAACAGAGAGACATTTGGTGTGACTGACAGGCAACGACCGTGAAGTCATGACAGCCTCTAGGGGAACAACAACAAATAAATAAAAATAAATCAAACCAGAGATAAAATGATCTTACAAAAGAGAGAACTATCAAGCTTTTTTCCTGCTTGCTTCAGTTTCTAACTGTAAGAGAAGACGAGGACGCTTGATTTATCAATAAAATACGTCTAAGATCCCAGTTCAAAGCACAACTCACTTCTACTCACACTTTCACACTAATATCAGTTTTCAGACTAATACAATTACCAAACAAATTTACAAAGAATTAGCATAAGAGGTTTTAAAAGTTACCGCTTTAAAATAAAAGTGTTCTAATAGATTCCCCTTCCCCCCACCCCAGTTAAACCACTTACAAGCTCGTCACCATGAAGTCATGAGCTTACTGGTATTGCACTGCTTATAGTCAGGTTTCCTTCCTTTCTTTTACTTCCCTACTCAAGAGGTCATTCAACTGCCCTTGTTGGCCTGAGCCATGATGAACTCACTTTATTTATGCGTGAATAAAATCATCATGAAATCAGCCACTCTGAATGCCCTGTCATTTTCCAAAATGTTCTCAATGAATTTATCTAGACAAGCAAATGATGACGACACAAATTTATTGGCACTTTGATGGCTAATGTTCAGCATTAACACCTTTGTGTTTTGTTGTTTTTTTTTTCTCTTAAATGACCTAGACTGGTGAGGGATGTGGAGAAAACATGATTTGAGGAGCAGAGAATAATAACCCATCTACAGTAGGTGGTTCCAAATACTGGATTAGCTCGCAACGGCTAAGCTGTCATACATAAAACATGATGGACACACGAGAAATGACACCAGCCACCATCAAACTGTGCATGTCATTGCAGTTGTGACAAATACAGAGAGGCGTGCTCATGAACGCACACACTCCAAGCTTTTAAACAGAAAGCTTTCTCTCCTCCATTGACGCTGTGGCTGCAGAAATGGCTTTAGTTTGGTCCTTAAATCAATCACTCTCTCCAATTTTCCATCCTAATCATGTCCGTGACTCGCAAGAGAAACGTGGAACAGACAATATTCAGACAGAAGTGGTATGCAATGAAAAGAAACGGGAAAAAGTAGAATAAAAATAGACATGGGGGAAAATATGCAGTGTTGATTCTATCTCTTTGCACTCCAGACATGCAGGACTGATCTGCCATCTCCACCTCCTTCCACAGCTTTCCACTCACCCCCATCCCCCTACCCTGACACAACGTTGCTGTATTATTGATTCCAGCAGGATTCAAGGCTTCTCAACACTGGCTCCTCTTCCATCCCACAGAGATGTTTAGACAGACTGATTAAATGAAGTGCTGGTTAAAGGGCTTGTTCTCTACCATTTTTCCATTAAGTCAACCAGTCAGGGTAGATTTTATTCACTCAATAAATGATGTTTATGTACCCAAACTGTGCAAACAACTATGCATCATGTGAGCATATCATCTTCAAGTCAGCATGGCCATGCTTGTTAATCCACTTAAAACATACTGATCTGTGTTATTACCCAATTATCCTGCTAAGGTATGTCCTATGGTAAGACATTACAAAAAAAACACACTTAAGAAAAAAATCATGCAAGTATAACACCCAAATGACTCTAAACTTCGAATCTTGCTCGAGTGAATGGTTCCTCATCAGTCTAGTAGATGATGCTCAGACACGCAGAAACAAAAAACTGTAAACATAAAAGTTTGACTGATTAGAGTAGGCAGGAATGTAAAGTACGTGCCTATGTTATTGTTATCAGGTCTCTCTTGTAAATGAGTCCTCGAGGCTCAATGGGAATTACCTGTATAAATAAAGGTTGATTGATTGTTAAAAAGATGGCCGTTGAAAAGGTTATAAGACCTCTGTGTTTCAGTCACACCGGAGCGTGTTTTGTTAAAACACCACCCTAAAACTCTTTTCCATCCCTCCACCCGATCACAAGTTCCGCTACCGGCAAAGCTTCAACAGGAGGCTAATTGTACTGCGACCGAGCATGCGTGTTTGTGCACATGCAGCCTGAACCCTGAAAGACTGAATCACACCCATTCTGCAGACACGGCGAGTTACCATGGAAATGGAGAGGTGGGTTTATTCTCCCCAATGCAAATGATACAGTAAATGTTCACACGCACACATACACATCTGCAGACTTCTCTCATGCTAAAACACTGCAGAGGTTATGAGCTCACAAAAGGTTATTTCCCACCAGCAAAGGGAAGAGACACACTTCTGCTTTCTCTCATCTAAACACACAAAGAAAGCACACCTAACACAAGCGCACCCATTACATCCCCCCATGACATGAATCAATGCAAACAGTGCTGCTCATGCTGTTGAGCACTGAAAAAGAGCAACAAGACCACAA